GTGTCAGACTTTCAATTGCCAATTCAATGTTGTGTTAATTTTTGTTCAATCTAAGACATATTCATAAAATGTCACTATTTCAAGCAAACTGTCATCACAGTAATGATACATACTTACAACCCCACTACATAACCACATATTATTGGAATGTCACTTTTCATACAAAATGCCACCATATACTTCTTTATTTTGCACTATTTTGTTGTATAACAACATCACAAACTAAAAATGATCTCCTAAATTCTCACTAAACTGTCATTTATGCGTCACATTCTGAAGTTCTAATTCAAACAAACGCATATTCATAAAGTATAACTAATTCACGCAAAATGTAACCATAGTCTTCATACACACTTAAAATGCCACCATATAACAACATGATGCAATGAAATGTTTTTACATTCAAACGATTTAAACTTTCTAAACTCCTTTAACTGTCAAACTTTTGTCAATTTCAGACATTCCTCTACTCAACGAAATTAGTACTTACTATTTCGGAATTGATTCTGACGGAAACTTTGTTTGACAAATCCATAGCTCTGTCCATCAACTCTACTCAACGATTCTACTCTCCTCAAATTTGAGGGTCGTCTAAGACGAAAGTTTACTACCTCTGTGCTTTGAAGTTTTGAATCGAAGTGCACGTTTGATACTCGTAGAATGACTGGTCTCTTCAATCGCAGCTCTCAACCGTTCCGATACATGTTCATTTAATTTTGAATCTCTTTTTCGGCGGCCATGATCATAATGGATGCTTGGAAACCGGGAATAGCCGGGGGAAAGAAGTAACCGTCAAATAAGGGAAGAGTACGTGGGTATCGTTTAATGAGGTCATTTTTGGCAATTCAGCGCATATTTGGTCCTATGCGAGTCGGGGGAAAAGTGGATGTCCTGTTTTTGAAATTTTGATAAGTAATAGTCCTATTTTGTAAAATTTCTCTTGATTTTAAGTATAGTATGCATGATACACAAATTTATGAATAAATTGTGTATGTTTAGATGTTATGATTATGTGTGTATGATGGTTGTACCAACCATGAATTTCATTTGAGATAGTATACTTGATACCATGAGGAGAAGCCATGAAGGTATGAAAGTGATACTTGATATTAAGGCAAATCATGCATGAAGAAAGAATTATATTGAAATAAATAAATAACTAGCATTGAAATATTAGTTGGAAATGTTAGTTGAGAAATGGATGAATTAGATCCTAAGAATTTGAATTATAAAGAATCGGTGATTATGAGCCGGGCTCAAGACCGATGTAGATAACGGTGATTATGAGCTGGGCTCTAGACCGTAGTAGATGACGGTGATTATGAGATGGGCTCTAGACCGTAGTAGATGACGGTGATTATGAGCGGGGCTCTAGACCGTAGTAGATAACGGTGATTATGAGCTGGGCTCTAGATCGTAGTAAATAATGATGAATTGATACTAAATGAACGGATTAACTATAATGTAATGATGCTCTAGATTGAGGGCCTTAGAGATTTAAACTTCGATTATACTTAGTATAGTTGTCATTGTACTTGTCAAATGCTTCCAAGTACTGACCTACCCTTCACGGGGGAGGCCACCTCACAGTTTCAGGTAGAACTTGAAGGTTGCTACTACCAGCCGCTGTTCGGGAAGTTTCTGAGAAGAAGACTTGGTTCGTGCTTCTTCCGTTCTCGTTTTGAAAACAATATGAATAATGCTCATGGATAATATTTTCTGAATAATTACTTTGGGGGCTTGCATGCCTAATTATGCCAAGTGTGGCTTGAACACTTGTATCAATTATTTCCGCTGCTTTAATAAATGTTTTACATTATGTTTGTTTATGGATGTGCTATGTGTGAATGGTATTCAAGACGCCTTGTATAGTATGGATGAGTCGGACTGCGGTTGACTATTCGTACTGTACGGAGGGTTGTTGACGTATCCGGGTAGGTCCGGGGCGTGACAGATTTAGTGGTAAAAAGCCCGGATTCCTTTTCGACGATGTTTGGAACAAGCTTGTTCATCATTGGGCTACGGATCCCAAGTTTTGAAAAGAAGCAAATCCGGTAAGGAAAACCGAAATTGCGAAAAAGCCAAATAGACTCAATGGCACGGGGCCCGCAAACCCTAGGATCAGCACAAAAAGATCTGATAAACTCTAATTCATAAAATTTTGGTACCATTACATATAATCATATATAATAATTATTTTAAAGTAATTTGAAATCCGTGTAAGAAGGCCCCGGACACGTGAAAAAGAAGGTCTCAAAATTGGAATTGCTCAAACATTGTTGGTTCCCGGAGGGCGATGAGTCGTTGTCACCTTGCATCTCCGAAATTGAAGTAAATAACGTAACTCCAAGTATTCCTTAAATTCCGAAATAAATTTATCTTAACTGTAATAAATTTATGAATTTGTAGAAGTATGTTGAAGAGTTGGAGAAGAGACATGCCGAGCTAAGTGATTCGGATGCCAAACTCGATGAGATTCAAGACGATGATGCTTATTTGGTGGCTGTCGGGGGTTTATAAAGGCCGGGTTTTGTGCATGGGTGTCCGGATTTTGTACAACTCCAGAGGTGGTAGTTCATCTTCTCAACCGACGATTGATGAAGAACGGTTTGCTCGTCTGGAGAGAGAATTGCAGGACGACGGGAAGAGGATAGGAGAACAAGAGAAAGGATGGTAGAGATGCAACGGCAAATGGATCAATTCTACGCCACATATCGGCCTCCCATGCACATATTGCACCCTGAGTTGACCCCTTAAATTTCCTTCATGTCTAATATGAGTTTCTAGCCTAGCCCCGGTAACCTATCCGGGTCTTTTCAATATGTGTATTATGATCAACCATTTCAGACACTCGGAGATGGCGGCAGTCGAAGTGGCAGGCGCCCCGAAGAGGATGATGTCTTGTTTGATATGGATGACTTTGTCTGCAATGAAAACGACGAAGACCCCTCAACATGTAATAGCTAGTATGTTTTAAATTTGAATTTCTGTCAAATTATTGTGATTGTATGAATTTTCATTTTTTATTTAATTACTATAATTCCCCTGCAATTTTTTTTAAAATAAAAAAAGTTTATCACGGATTCCATCCGTGACAATTTTTTTTTAATGTAACAAAACAGTTGTCATGGACTGTGTCCATGACAAAATAATTCAGTTTTTTTTAATTTCCTGCACTTCCATTTCCAAAATTAAAAAAAAACAAATTGGATTTTTTAATGTAACGAAAGTTTGTCACGGATTCCATTCGTGACAAAATTTCAAATTTTTTAAATTTCCCGCCGTTCCCGTTTCAAAAAAAAATAAAAAATCAATTTAATTTTTTAATGTAGCAAACGTTTGTCACAGATAAATCCGTGACAAATATGAACCGACACAATACTCCGGTGACCTTATTGTCACGAATAAAGACCGTGACACATCCGTGACAAAGCTTTTGTCACGGATCCCTACCTTTCCGCGACAAAAGTTTGTCACGCCCGTTTTGTCACGGAAAAAAACCGTGACAAAATCTGTGATAAAGTTGTTTGTCACGAATTTTTAAAACTTGTGTCCGTGACAAAATCCGTGACAACCCTCGGGATTTTTTATAGGGATTCTTTGTAATGTACTGGGATATCAAGTGCATATGCGTATGTATCCTAGACTGATTGAGCCGATAAAAAAGTTTGGCTAATTCACCTCCATACATTTAGAGAGAAGGCAAAGCTGCTTAGATTCATAGCATGTACGTTCAACGCATATATGATTGTGAGTATTGAATCAAAAAATAAATTTCTCTATTTTGGTTTTATATGTTTGATTATTGGATAAAATAACGACTTTCATTCATACAGGGTAAGATAAAGATGAGGCGGGGAGATGGAGTTCGTATACCGTACGACCGTCCCAGCATGAGCACCGTACACCCACTCCCAAAACTTTTTTTAAAAATGGTAATAACTTTTTAATTTTTGATCCGATTTTTATAAAATTTATATCAACATTTTTTATTTTTCATGATCTTTCAAATGAGGCCAATATTGCCTATGTAATTTTAACATATTGTCGAACTATTATATTAACCTATGTAAAATATGTAATGTTACGTGTAAAAATATGTAACTCATGTCTAGTCAGGCCAAATGCAACTCGTATGTATAAATATGTAACTCTATGTGTAAAAATATGTAACTTTACGTGTAAAAATATGTAACTCGCGTTCAGACAGGTCAAATGTAACTCGTTTGTATAAATATGTAACTCGCGTGTATAAATATGTAACTTGCTTATAAAAAGATGTAACTCGCTCATAAAAAGATGTAACTCAATGTAACTGAGGTCACTGATCCACTCCCAAACAGATTCGATCTTCTATTTCACAAACCTATCATCTCCCTGCAATTCATATGCAACTCGTGTGTATATATATATGTAACTTGCGTGTAGAAATATGTAACTTTACGTGTAAAAATATGTAACTTCAAGTATAAAAATATGTAACTCACATGTATAAATACATAATACAATAAATTTTTTATATACACAATTTTAAGATAAATTGTGATTTACACAATTATTTTTCTAAATTAAATTTAGTTCGATTTTCCTTATAATCCAATACCATTAATATAATAGTTCGATAAGTTTTTAAAATTACATAAACAATATTGGTCTCATTTGAAAGATCATGAAAAATAAAAAATGTTGATATAAATTTTATAAAAATCGGATCAAAAATAAAAAAGGTATTATCATTTTTTAACAACAAAAGCAAAAAAAGAAAGAAAAGAAACAAACAATCCTACGTCGTTTTGCGACCGGACGCACCATGTTCATGGTGCGCCGGTTGCACCATATAATTTGCGGGGGAGATGAGATGAAAATGAAGATTAGAGACAGAGGAGCGTCATTTTGTATTAAGAAATACGTACTTGTAGGAATAGAAAAGTAAGGGTGAAAGCAATGGTCCCACTCATCACTCACTCACTATTACTGGTAGAATATTATTATTTATGAAGGGAAGGGAAGGGAAAGCGGGCGGAGTGTTCGTAATAATGAACCCCCGGCCGGCCACTTGGATTACGTTTTCGCCGAGGTTTCCGGTTGTCGTAGGCCAGCCCCACACTGATTTCGTCGGTGCCTGAATAATTGAATTGAAGCCGCGCGCCATGGATCATCATATCCCCCGGCCCCATACTACTACGTACGTAATATATATACACACCACTGCCACTGCGCAAGTAATTAAGTTAAGTAAGATCAATCAGTTGCTAAGCGGAGTACGTACTAGCTATATATATTAATTAATTAGCATGGATAATTGCGGTGGAAAGAGTTTACAGCAGCAGCGCTGGCAGTCATCATCAAGCGGCGGTGCCGGTGATGAGTTCGACTACTACTCTTTTGCAGCTGAAGAATGTGTACATTCCCCCGCCTTTTCTCATCACCACCGCCCATCCGCCACCGCCGCTTTGTCTGAACTTTTCCAACACCGTCACCCCATCAGCATCTTACCATCGTTCAACAACCAATCATCAACAACCAAGCAGCAGCAGCAGCAGCTACGCAACCCTGCACCTAGGAAACGCTCCAGATCAGCAGCAGCACCTTCACCCACCACCGTCCTCACCACAGACACCACCAATTTCCGCTCCATGGTTCACCAATTTACTGGCTTTCCCTACGCCGCCGCCAATACTCTTCCTCGCTCCTCCTACTTAACCACAACCTTTCTGCCCCCCGACGTTATTTCCTCTCCTTTGCTTCACATGTCCGCAGGCGTTTCATCATACATTGACGATTTCGGCTCACCTCTCCTCCCCAACAACAACGGAATCGGAAAATACAACTTCTCTGCAGCTCTGCGCTCTGGTTTTCACGACTACTACTGGATGCCGCCAGAAATCAGCAGCAGATTTGACAGTATGTATGATACAATAATCATGGACGCGCCTAATTAGCTACCTTAGCTTGTTTGTCCCAAATCAATCAATGTAGCCGGCCGGCCTTGATACACTTTCTTTTTTTGCAAAACAGATTTCCCAATTCCGGCCTGTTTTACAAATCAATCGGTGCTGCCCGGTTTCTTCACCATTTTCATCCATCCTATAAAACATTAATTAATTAAATTAGGTTTACATGTGCTTTACGCTATAAATTTTGTTTTAGCCCGACTCCCAACTCCGCTTTTTGTTTTTTTTAAGGAGAGATCGAATTCCCAATACGGGAGTAAGACATATGAGAGTCCTGTCAGTTACTTATGTTTCCTGCCGAAATTTTAATAGAAACTGATCAAAGTATCCGTAATCAAGAAATTCTTATTTGTTTATTTATTAACTCATACTCACGTATAAAACAAATTATTCAAGTGTAGAGCCTGTTCTCAAACATATCATCGCACGAGATGTGGTGTTGGACTATCACCTCTTGTTCAGCCACCGTCGGCCGCCGGATAATACTGCCGGCCACCACCGTCGGTGTCGCCTGAACTGCTGCCGTTGTCAAGCAAGTCTTCATCTGCTGCCGCTACCCTCTATTTGTCTGGCCTTCCATCCCCACCACACTAGCGCATGCCTCTTGGATTGCCGTCATATGTTCCGCCACCACCGCCAATTCTTCTAGTGCGCTTGCTTCCATGTCTGCCATTTTAAAATCATAATGTCATTTTTGTAAAAAAATACATGACATTAACATTTGTAAACCATGGCATATTTGCCTAACATATCCATGTAATTGCCATCTTTACGAAACTTATGTCAACTTCATAAACCGATTGCCCAAACATATTGAAAATTACATCCAACCGAAATGATTAAAAAATAAGATCTGTTTATGTAAGTGACATCGGAGCCTCACATATTTCATCCAAAAATTACAGATCTAAAGTTTATTTTGAATCTCAAAATTAAACATAAATATTAGTCATAGATCTTTTAGATACAAATTCATTAATCTGAAAATGAAAATAAAGTAATAAAATTAATAAATATAGAATAAAACTAAATAAGTTAAAATTTTCAAATAAAATACTTTCATATTTTAAAATAATAAAATTCAGATCCAAAATAGCATTTCGTAAATAAAATAATTGATGAAAATTAAGAAAAAATCAAAATGAAAAGATAAAATAGGTAGAAGAAAAAGACAGAGAAGAGGAAGAATTAATTTGAATGTCTTCCCGATTGAATTTTTAGGTGAAATTTGGTATGAGTAAACTAGACATAATGAATAAGATTCTAAAAAAAATCATCAAAAAATTACAAAGGAAATTATCCCAAATGTTGACAGCCGGACAAAGTCTCCTAAATAATATTAATAAGCTTATTTTATAAATTAGAGGCCCCTAAAATTTGGAGGCCCTAGACGCTTATCTAGGGTAACTCCCCCTATGGCCGGCCCTGGCTGCAGTTGCTCCACCCATGACAGGTAACCTCCTCCTCCTCCTCCTCCTCATCCTCCCCCTCCTCCTCCTTCCTCTTCCTCTTCTTCCTCTTCTTCCTCCTCTTCCTCTTCTTCCTCCTCTTCCTCTTCCTCTTCCTCTTTTTCTTCTTTTTGTTCTTCCTCTTTTCTTTTTGTCTTCTCCTTCCCATCCTCTTCAAATCTAGGTCCTCTATTTTCTTCTTCTTTAGATTTCATTTTTTATTAACTTTGATTAATTTGGAACCTTAAAAATTACAAGCAATTAGAAAAATATCAATTTTATGACATTACATTTTTCAAGATGACAATATATCATGAAACTGACATTGTTACTCAAAAAACTGACAATTTAAATATGTCATTTTTGTTTCAAAAGTGTCATGAGAATGACATTATTAGTCTTTCGAAAATGTCAAGAGATGTCATTTTCTTCTTTGAAGTGTCACCTTGGCAAATGTAGTGTCATAAATGACATTATAACAAATCAGTGTTGGATTAAACAACAATTATGGCATTTTTCAGATTGACGTGATGACAACAATAATATGAATCTTTTAAAATAAATTAATCATATTAATAAAAAAAGGATGTCCAAAAGAAGAAGAAAATAGAAAATTTGTAGAAAAAGGAAACATGAGAGCTTGAGAAGAAGTTAAAAGAGGGGCAGAAGAAAAAGGATCATGAAGAAGAAGAAACTTATCTGGGCATGTAGCAGAGCCATCGATCCGTCGCCAGCGACATTCACTGCACTCAGCAAACACTCATCGCAGAGCCATTCGTCCACTGTACTAATAAAGGATATTTTGTCTAAATACAAATAATTAGTCTTATTTAGGGAATTTAAAACAATATGTCATGTTTTTGTAATTCCACATTTTTTAGTCCTATGTAGGGAATTCTCTCTATTTTAAAAGACCACAGCGAATCGATCGCTGCATATCTCCCGTTTCAGACCTGCACGCTGCACCAAGATTTCGACGTTCCGATCACCTCCATTCCTCACTCCACATTGTGGTGCCGCAGAGCCCACAAGAGTAGAAGACCACCAGGCCGTCCAGGCGCCAAGACGAACGACGACCTAGTTCGGCTGGCCAGAATCACACGCGCACGCCCACTCCGAGCACTCACCCATGTTTTATTGTTATCATTTCCATAATTCATTGTTTTTATTAATTATTAAAATTTCTTTTTGAATGTTAACTGTTAAGATTAAATTAATAAATTTATCTATTTATGAATTTCTTTTAATATTTAATGTTTTAAGATGAAAAGATATTGGGAGTATTTCATATGTTAATTCAAATGATTCACCATTTAGTAAATGAAGAATTGGATCAAATAATTGCTGAAAATGAATGGAATTTGGCTTATGATCTACATGAACATGTTGAATTTAGAAAAATATTTGCTGATTTTCATCCTAATGTTCAATACGAGGTGCGCCGTAGTGTCCTTTAAAATGGGCCGTTTCAACCTCGGATCATGATTTTCCTTTAAGGTAATTAGCGGCAAAAAAAGTATATTTGTTTCAAGTTGGTTTGATGAGCATAAATGGTTGGAATACACAATTGCATGCCAAAGATGTTGCAATTTGTTAACGATGTTCTTTGTTTAAGAATGAGTCGGAAGTTCGTGGTGAACATTTTTTGGGGAATAGGGTTTTTGGAATGGAATAAAAAAGATGGGTTTTATGTACATTTTACTATACATTGGTGGACCTAACAGTCCTCATTACAAGGCGGTGAAAAAGATCAAAAGAGTTAATGAACCAAAACAAAATGTCAGGGAATGTTTCGTCAAACAATCTAAACAAGCGAAGTCTGATTATCTTATTCCCTTGAAGGCGTCACTTCAGTGCACTATTTTCTTGTTTGTGGGGGGCTTGCCATTCCGGGGTCATGACGAACCAATAGAGTCTAGTTATAAAGGCCATTTTCTTGAGACTTCAGACCTTTTGAGACAACATGATTCTGAAATAGATAGAGTTCTTAAAAATGCTCCACAAAAAAATTGGATGACTTCACCCGAAGTTCTAAAGGATCTGTGTTATGCTTGTGCATTTCTAACTGTTCATGAAATTACCATGCAAATAAGAGATGATGTTTTAATTTTGCTATATTATTAGTTGATGAATCAAGGGATGTTTCGGGTAAAGAGCAAATGATTGTTGTTGTGCATTTTGTTGCTAGTAATGGTTTTGTTTTAGAGAGATTTATTGTTCTTGTTCATGAAAAAGACACAATTACATCATCTCTTAAAGAATCTCTTGAGAACATGTTAACACAATATGGTTTGTGCATCTCAAACATAAGAGGACAAGGCTATGACGGAGTGGTAATATGCGGGGTAAGTTTGGTGGATTGAAAACTCTAATTCAAAATGAAAATCCCTATGCATATTATGTACGTTGTTTAGCTCATCAACGGTAGTTGAATTGTAAATTGTTGCCGCTGTTAAAGGACAACATGAGGGTAATTGGTTACTTCATTATGTTAGTCATGTAATTAATAAGATTTGTTCATCAAATAAGTGACATAAATGCCTTTGAGATAAACAAGCAGGTGCTTCGGTAAGTGCTTTAATTATAAACTGGACTAGTAAAAATAGGAAGAGGTTTGAATCAACAGTTAGCACTTGTCAGAGCTGGTGATACGCGATGGAGTTCTCATTGCAGATCATTGCTTAATTTGCAAAAATTATTTAAATTTGTTGTTGAGGTACTCGAAGATTTGAAAGATCGTGTGATGGACTACCGATCTTGGGGGTAGCAAAAATATAGGAAAATAAGGGAGAAGATCGGAAAAGCTTAAGTAATATCGGGTAAGAATTTCTGCAGAATAACATCAAGAGTATTCGTTTTCAGATCCCTTTCCACATGATGGAAGGTGATATTTATACTAAAAAGGTAATACTTGGTGCCCAAGTAAAAAAGATGTTATTCTATTGTGGAGAGGACATGTGTCCAGCTGCATAACAGAATAATCAGACTAATCTAATAGAGTGTTGACACGTGTAAAGATGATTGGAGAGATAAGTGGGACAGCTGGCTGATTGGAACCGTGTGTAACAAACTGGTATCGGAATACACGTGTGGGTTACACGTGTATTATCCAAAATTTTATCCACTAGGTGTGATGTGGCACCTCTTAGAGTACAAGTGATGTGGCGGAAGCTTATGCGGCAATTGGTTCCGCGAAACGCTCAAGTCCATAGAGTGTTGGTGAGACCCCGAGCTCCCAGATGTCAGAGCTCAGATGTGTGTGCTCATTACTAGAGGATCTGTCTCTGGTCTTTGGTCTTGTCTAGTAGCGTTGACTCTCTTGCTGGCTTCGCTTGACTTTGGTTGACCTTGCATCAATGTCAGAGGTCAGAGGGGTACTGAGCTCGGTGTGCCCGAGGTCGTCCTCATACTTTACTTTGTCTGGGTGATTCCTGAGCTCGGTGTTCTCGCCGACCTCGGAGGGTCGAGGTCTGCCTCGGCTGGGTCTTGTGCCCTTTGTCGATTTGTCATCTTGTGTTTGGTCCCGACCTTGGAGGGTCGAGGTCGGCCTCTGTGGGAAGCCTGGTACTTTAAGTATTTTGGGGTGCCTTTGTGGCCTTTGATCAACAATTATGATACCCCTGAGGTATATGGGTATATTTGTGGCCTCTGACCTCGCTAGCAAAGCTGCGGACTTGGACACCTTAGCAATCAAACGCGCAAGCCGTTGCCACGTCACTGTCGCTATACAAGGACCGTGTCACCCTGGCGGTTACCATGAAGAATATTCCCAGGATCACACGCGTGTGGCGTGAGCATGGGATTCTGTACAAATCTGTTACACATAGTACCAATTAGCCAAACTACTCTCGATATCTCTCCAATCAGATTGTAAATCTGCAAAAGAAGTTTTACAGAAAAATGTAAAAAACATTGCATCGAAATAAATGAACCGACATTAAACCGTTTTTAGGCGGGTTCCAATTTTCGGGTCCCAAGTTACATCGGTTCGAACTTTCTCAATGTGGTTCAGTTTTTTCAGACCAGTTTTGGATGTTTCGTCCAAACTACTTAGCCCTAGTCGATAAATTTAAAATTTTCTAGTGCATATATGCAATTGGTAATAACTATTTTCCAAGTTGAGTGATTTTGGAACAGGTGATGGACCAAAACCAAATTGTGTCCAATTTCGAAAGCAAATTTCGAAAGCAAAGTGTTCAAATTTTGAAAGCAATTTAATCAATCGATGACCTGAAAGACATATGAGCTATCAATCCTGGTCTGAAAGATGAAATGTGTCGGTATATGGCCGACTGATTGAAAACTATCAATCTAGGACCCAAGTTGTCATAATTTTTTATTTTATTTTAGAAGTTTAAAATAATATTTAATTTATTAAACTAATAAACTTTACTTTAAAAACTAATAAAGTTTTGTAAAGAAAAATTCA